GGGGGATACTGCGCCTGCGCAGAGCAAATTCTCGGCCTGCTCTGGGGTCGAGAACCGCGCGATCTGGCTGAGGTAGGTCGGGCTGATTGGCCTCTGCTCAGAGGAAGGATCGAACACCTCTATTTTTAAAAGCTCCCTTGGGTGGTTCCCAGGATTGCCAGGCCTAAGGGGAGTCTAGGGATCCTGACCGCGGGCGATGGAGTTAGAGGGGCGGTAGCCTCGGCCTCGGGAGTGGGCGGAGTGACCCTTGGGAGGGAGTGATCCCAGCCTTGGCCCCGGCCCTAGACTGGTATGGGCGGAAGTGATCCCGGCCTTGCCTCCATCCCCATACTTGCGGCGTTGATGGGAGCGATCCCACCACTGGGCTTGGTTGTTTGGGGCCACCGTGGAGGACGGGACACAGGCCCACCAGACTCAAAGCTTTCCCTGTGCCTTTGACTGCTGGGAAGCTTAAAACTTCAGAGAGCCGGGCGTGGTGGCTCACGCCTGTAATCCCAGTACTCGGGAGGCTGCCGCAGGAGGATCGTTGCGTGGGCTACAAAGTGAGCTCAAGGCCAGCCTGAACTGCATAGCGAGACCCTGTCTCAGAGAAAAAAACAAAAACCAAACAAACAAAAAAACCAAAACCGGTAATCTTAACTATGCACTTAATATTAGATTATTAAAATCTTGTGCAGTTGTTATGAACCTAGTTATGAAGTATTAAGTTTACAGTAAACCAGTCCCATTTTAATGTTTATGGTTTCCAGTTTTTGCTACTAATAAATAAAAGCATAATTTATTTGTGCACAAAGCTTTATTTTTAGGATTATTTCCTTAGGCGATATGCATCAGAAAAGGACTTTATTGGCTGGAAGAAACAAGCGTAACAGCCGGCTGGCCCTCTGTATTGGTGGGCTCTACATCAGTAAATTGACTTAACTGTAGATCAGAAATATTTGGGGAAAAATGATGTCTGTGACTTCTTCCTCTTGTTAGTCCCTTAACAATATAGCACAACTGTTTGCATAGCATTTATATTGTATCAAGTGTTGAGTGATACAGAGATGATTTAAAGTATTTGGGTAGGCGTAATATAATTTAAAGAGCAAAATAAAAGAGATGATAGGAAACAGGGAAGTAGACTCTGGATGGGAAGAGGATATGGAGGTAGAGAGGAAAGCAGGGGAAAGGGGGATTAAAAATGATCAAGATGTGATAGATACATGTAATTATTATGTATCACAAACACACTAATAACAGTACATGGGTAGCTTACATGCAAATACTACAGCATTTCATCTAAGAGTCCTGAGCATGTAAAATTTTGGTGTCTGAGGGATTCTTTGATCAATCTCCCATGGATACAGAAGGATAGCTATACTTCCCAGACTTTTTTGAAAGTTAAGCAGTTTCAGTACTTTCTAAATTAGGTACTACCTGATTCTTAAAATTCGGTGGTTACCACAACCCGTAATATATTCTGAGCCATATATTTGGGTATATCTTTATTACCTATCATAGTTTTATATTTTTAGGTGTTAAACAAGTATTTAGACACCTGTTTTTTAAAACTTGAATTCTTCGTTTCTTACATTCATCATGGTTAAAACTATTTTCTTTTTTCTTTTTTTTTGGTCTTTTTGAGACAGGTTCTCACTATGCAGTTCAGGCTTGTCTTGAGCTCACTTTGTAGCCCAGCATGGTCTCGAACTCCCAATGATCCTGCTGCCTCAGCCTCCCGAGTGCTGGGATTACAGGTGTGCGCCACCATGCCCAGCACCATTTTCTTTTTGTACCAGGAATCGAACTCAGGACGTTGTGCTTACCAGGCAGGTGCTTGTGCCGCCGAGCTATATCCCTGGCCCTATGGTTAACTATTTTGTGATCAGTGTATTTATGGTGGCAAGCTGAAAGCTGTCATGATTTTTGGACACTTAGTGAACTAGTAGATTTGTAGTAACTTTGGCTTTCAGATAGGTTTGGAGTGTGTACTCTGGGCCTGATACAAGGACCGCTGTAATCCTGATTATGACTGCCTTGTCATAAACAGGACTAAGACATCCTCAGGACTGTCCCCACCTTCCCCTCATGCAAGGCCTCATCTTTTCTTCCTTCCTCACACTTTCTGCTCAGAAAATGCTTTCCTCCGACACCTTGCCTGTTAAAATACTGCTTGTTTTTTGAAAACCAGCTCCTATGAAGCAGTATGTCCAGTGTGAGCTCACTTTCAGCTGTATTAGAGTTCTCCAGAGGGGGAAAGAAGCCATTGAGAGACATATATAAACAGTGATTCCTTGCTCAACAACACAGATACCATCTGAGAAATATGTTGATGAGGATTCTGACTTTGTGTGGACACCCTAGAGTGTGCTTAGGCATTCTGAGTTGGCTATGACATTACTAGATCATAGGATCTCCCCCAACTTTTTTTTTTTTTTTTTTCAGTAGTGGGTATTAAACTCAGAGCTTTCTCACTGAGCTACACTGCAGCCCATTCTAAAAGTTTTTGAGACAGGGTCTTGCTAAGTTGCCCAGGCTGGCCTTGCCATTACACCTGCCCTTAGGCCATATGATCTTATGGAACCATCAGCCTATATGTGGTCCATCTTCAACCAAAACGGTGTTACGGGTTACATGTCATGCATGCATGGAATGGCATATACAAGGGGGAGAATTTTTTTTTTTTTTATTGAGACGGGGTCTCACTGTGTAATTCAGGATAGTCTTGAACTCAGTTGTAGCCCATGCTGGCCTAAACTTGCAATAATCCTCAGCCTCCTGAGTGCTGGGGTGAGTGAGCATTTAATTTATTCTAAGAAACTGGTATAAGCATTCAAACAGTAGTCTCATCCAGAAACGCCTCTCAGACCCATCTAGAATGATGTTCAACCAAGTATCTGAGCATGTCATGGCTCAGTCAAGTTAACACATAAAATTAACCACCACAGGGCTGGAGATGTGGCTCAGTGGTATAGCACCTGCCTAGCAAGTATGAGGCCCTGAGTTTAATTCCTGGTACCAAAAAAGAAAAAGAAAATTAACCACTACAGCAACCATATATTGACTTTTTTTTTTAATCTTTTGTCTTTTTGAGACAGGGTCTCGCTGTGCAGTTCAGGCTGGCCTTGAGCTCACTTGGTAGCCCAGGCTGGTCTCGAACTTGCAACGATCCTGCTGCCTCAGCCTCCTGAGTTCTGGGATTACAGGTGTGTGCCACCATGCCCGGCAGCAACCATGTATTTAAACATACTAGAAAACACCTGTGGATCACTTATTTGAAATGTGCCCTACCCTTACTAGTGAGGTTTTTTTTTCCTTGAAAATGCACAGAACTCATTATTGTGCAGCACATAGGTAGAACTGAAAAAAATATTTTTAATAAAAGGAAATGACCATACCAAAGTAGATGATGTCATCATGATGGCTCTGTTTTACCCTCTTTATCTAATTGATATTTCTTCCTTTTTTTCAAGGTATATCTCCATGAATAACTTAAATGATCCTCCAAATTGGAACATCCGACCTAATTCCAGAGCTGATGGGGGTGATGGAAGCAGGTGGAATTATGCCCTGTTGGTGCCAATGCTGGGATTGGCAGCTTTTCGTAAGTCTTTCTGACATTTGTGTTTTCTGGGCTAAAGGTGTGGAGCTCTGCTTCGGACAACAGGGGGCTCGCACCTCTAGACTGTGGCTTTGGAACTGGACAGGTACAACCCAGTTTTATCCTATACAGTGACTCTTAGGTACATACTTTCCTGAGCCTCAGTTTACCTGCCTCTAGGAATCGCTAATCATACCTACAACAAAAGTAGAAGCATTTTGTGTGGAATGGGTTTTAGTAAATGTCTGCACCCCTCAATGGCTTCAGGGCTCTAGACTTCCTTGGCTTGGTTGCCCTTATCGGGACTGATAAGAAAAGCAGTCCTTAAAGAAACCTCTTAGGATGTGTGTTTAGTGTTTGGGAAGTCTGTCTTTGGGAGACTTTGCCCAGGAAAGGTCTGCCCAACCTGGCCAGAAATCCCCTCATGGCAGTTGACTTGGCACTGCTGGGTTCCTCACCACTCAGACAAATTTACAACACCTTAGCCTGTGACTTGTGTCCCTACCCATCATTAGTCCATTGATATGGAGGAGATTGTAAAGTTTTCCTTACATACTGTGGTTCTGGTTGGCATTGAAAACTATGAGAGACTGAAAAATTGAATGGAAGCAAAGCAAATCCATCCTCTGTGTGTAGCGATCCTTTGTGTGCCTGGATTGCCTAACTCAACAAGTTGTAGAGGCTGATAGGACTAGGGGGTCTTCACAGTTCAGGAATCTGTGGGGTACGTGCAGCCATCTGGATTCAGCCTTGTGGGTGCCATCTAAAGGCTTGCAGATCACCACTCAATGCCAGGAGAGGCTTACTGCTGCTCATAGCTAGACAAATGTGCAGACATTTACTAAAACCCATTCCACACAAAGGAATGCCCTGGTAGGTTTAAAATCACACTAATGTAGTAATTGTCTGGTCTTGAGGCTTTGGTTTTGTATTTTTTGCATTCATCCATAGCTTTTATAGCTGTGCTTAATGACTTTCAAATTCTTGGCTTCTCTTGGACGTTCAAAATGCTTTCTGTCCCTGAGAAAAGTTGAGGATGTGATCAGAGGTAAAATTTAACATTTGCATTCGTACAAGGAATCTCCAAAAATATATTACTATATGTCTGAGAAATTTCAGTGTTTCTGCATCTTCTAATCAGTTCCATTGATCTTTGGGTCTGGGTTTTTTTGTTTTTTTTTTTGCCAGTATCATGCTATTTTTATCAAGTAGCTTTACAGTATAATTTTAAGTCAGGGATTGTGATGCCCCACCTTACCTTTGTTGCCCAGACTTGCCTTTGCTGGTTCCAAATGAAGTTTAGGATTGTTTTCTCTAATTCTGTGAGATAAACTATTGGAATTTTGATTGGAATTGCATTAAATCTATGTAGCAGTTTCAGAAGTATGGCCATTTTCACTATATTTGTTCTTCCTACACAAAAGCAAGGGATATCTTACAATTTTCTGATACCTCTTTTGATCTCTTTTTTCAGAGTACTGTAGTTTTTTAAGTCCTTTGTTAGATTAATTTCTAGGCAGTTCATTTTTTTTGGATGCTATTGTGAAAGGTTTTGTTTCCCTAATTTCTCTCTCAGTAAATTTGTTATTCATGTACAGAAAGGCTATTGTTTTTTGAGTGTTGACTTTGTATCCAGCTACACTACTAAATTTGCTTATTAAATCTAGCAGTTTTTTAGTGGAGTTTTGGGGGTATTCTATGTAGAGTATCATGTCATCTGCAAATAATGATAATTTAACTTCTTTCTTTCCTATCATTGTTCCTTTTATTTTTTCTCTTCTCTAATTCTTTTCACTAAAGTTCCCAGGACTATGTGGAATAAGAGTGGAGGCAGTGGATATCCTTGTCCTGTTCCTGATTTTAGAGGGAAAGATTTCAGTTTTTGTCCATTTAGTATGATGTTGGTTCTTGGTTTGTCATAGATGGCTTTCATCAGATTGAGATAAAGACCATCTATTCCAGTTTTCTGTAGGGATTTTTTTTAAATCATGAATGGGTGCTAGACTTTGTCAGAAGCTTTTTCTACATCTATTGAGATGGTCATGCCATTTTTGTCCTTGACTCTGTTAATATGGTGTATTACATTTATTGATGTACATATGTTGAGCCATCCCTGCATCCCTGGGATGATCATGGTGTATAATCTTCTTGACGATTTGCTGCATTCTGTTTGCCAGTGTCTTACTGAGGGATTTTTTGCATCTATGTTCATTAGGGAGATTGGCCTGTAATTCCCTTTCTTAGTTGGGTCCTTCTCTTGTTTTTCCAGGAATGAATTTGGGAGTACTGCTTCCCTTTCCATTTCATTAAAGAGTGTGAGAAGTAGTGGTGTTAGGTCTTCTCTAAATTTCCTGTAGAATTCCATCAGGGCCTGGGCTTTTCTTTGTTGGTAGGTTTTTAATTACATCTTTAATTTCATTGACTGATATTGGTTTATTTAGGATTTTTATATCTTCTGGAGTCAGCCTTGGTAATTCATATGTATCTAAGAATCTGTCCATTTCTTCTGCATTTTCCATCTTTTTAAAATACAAGTTTTCAAAGTAGGTATAGATGATCTTCTGGATTTCTGTAGGTCTGTTGTGATTTCACCCTTTTCATTACTAATTGCGTGGATTTGAGTCTTTTCTTTGTTTTTTTTTGATCAGGTTGGAAAAGAGTTTTTCAATTGTATTTAATCTTTTAAAGAACCAATTCTTTGATTCTTTGTGTTTTCTTAGTCTCCAGTGCATTAATTTTTGCTCTGATCTTTATAATTTCCTCCCTCATAAGAGCTTTTGGCTTAGCCTGTTCTTTTTCTAGGAGTTTGAGGTTCGCCATTATTGTATTTATTTGTACTTGCTCTGTTTTCTTTTTTTTTTTTTTTCTCTGGTACCGGGAACCGAACTCACAACCTTGCGCTTGCCAGGCAGGCGCTTTTTGCCGCTGAGCTAAATCCCCAGCCCCCTTGCTCTGTTTTCTTGATATGCGTAGTCACTGCTATAAATTTTCCTTTTAGGACTGCTTTCCTTGTGTTTCATAGATTCTGGTATGTTGTATTGTCTTTATCATTTAATTGTAGAAACTATATCTAATTTCTTCTTTAATTTCATCTGTGACCCATTGGTTGTTCAGGGGGTGTGCTACTTAATTTCCATGTGTTTATGATGTTCTTGTGGTTTCTTTTATCATTGATTTCCAATTTCATTGCACTGTGGTCTGATAATATGCATGGGATAATTTTGATTCCTTTGCATTTACTTAAGCATGTTCTATGAGCTAGTATGTAGCCTGTTTTGGAGAACATCCCATGTGCAGCTAAGAATGTATATTTTGATGTTGTGGGGTAGAACACTCTGTAGACATCTACTAAGTCCATTTGTTCCGAAGTTTGATTCAGTTCTAATATTTCATTGTTGATTTTTTTTGTCTAGTTGATCTTTTTGTGACAGTGGAGTATTGAGATCCCCCAATACAATTGTATTAGTGCTTATTCAATTTTTCATGCCCATTAATATTTGTTTTGTATAGTTGGGTACACTGGTATTTGTTACATACATATTTCAGATTATTATTTCTTCTTGAATTGTCCCTTTTGCAAGGATGTAGTGACCTTCGTTTTCTCTCTTAATCAGTCTTGGCTTGAAATTCACTTTGTCTGAAAATAGAATAAGCTACCCCTGCTTTTTTCTGGGTTCCTGTTGCACAGAGTATTGTTTTTGACTTTCAGTCTATGAATTTCTTTTTGAATTAAATGTGTTTCTTGTATGAGGCATGTTGTTGGATCTTGCTTCTTGATCCATTCTGCCAGTCTGTCTTTTGATTGGTGAATTGAGACCATTAACATTAATGGTTATAGCTGATATGTATTGACTTACCCTTGTCATGTTATTTTCCTGTTGTTGGTTCCCCCCACTTTTTTTTTACTTCCCTCTGTTTAATTGTTTGCCTTGCCTGGTGGATTCCTTCTGTTGGTGCTCATGGAGTTGTAGTCCTTATTATCTCTTTCTTTAATGTCCTTCAAAATATTTTGGAGTACTGGCTTGGCGGTCATAAATTTCCTCAGATGTTGTTTGTCATGGAATTATCTTATTTCTCCATCAATTTTGTGAGATAGTTTTATGGAGTAGTTGTTTTTTTTTAGGGCTTGATTTACTTCACTCCAAGCTCTTCTTGACTTAAGGGTTTGTGTTGAGAATTCAGTTGTGATTCTGATGGGCTTTCCTTTATAGATGATTTGTTTCATTTCTCTTACAGCTTTTAATATTCTGGTCTTGTGTTGAATGTGTGGAATCTTGACTATGATACACCTGGGTGTAGATTTTTTTTTTACTGTGGCTAATTGGAGTTGTGTATGTGTAACTTATCTATATGTCAAATTCCTTTTCTCTACTGGGGATGTTTTCTGCCTTGATGTCTGTGAACAATTTTTTGTAGCATTTGTGCTATCTCCTGCTTTTTCATTGACTCCATTTTTGAATTTTCTTTGCCTCATCTAGCAGCTGCTGTGTTGATTTCTCATGGTCCCTTGCTATTTAAGAAATCTTTCTTTTCATGACTACTAACTAAAAGCCTGTCTTCTATATCTGAGACCCTGTCCTCACATTGGCTTAATCAGCTGCAGATACTTTCAATGGAATTTTTATTCTCCTAGATATCTGCTTGAATCTGCCTTATAGATTCCATTTCTTTCCTATGCTGAGCATTCATGGCTTCCATAATTTTCTTAAGCTCCACTATTTTTTTGTTTGTTTGTTTGTATCTGCTCTAGAGTGACTAAGCATGGTATTCATTGTGGACACTATCTCTGCAATTATCTGAGATTCTTTTTGATTTGATTTTTTCTAGTGCCTCATTCAATTGCTTTGTTGTTAGTACTTCTGAGAGGTCAGGTGGGTGGATTTCAGATTGTCCCACCTCGTTGCCCCCTGGGTTTTCCTTTGGTGAACTGGATGTCTGAGGTTGTATCTTGTTTGTCTTCTCATTTTTTTTTTAAATTTTAGTTTAATTCCTGGGGTGATCCT